GGGAGCTGGCGGGGGACAAGCTGGTGCCTCGGAGGGAGCCAGAGGCGCTGCGGTGGCTGGGGATCTGACAGCTGTGCCTCTTGCAGATCCCCGGGAAGCTGCTCTTTGGCCTGGTGAAGCGCTACCTGTGCGTCACTTTTCTTGTGGACAAGCTCAGCAGTGGTGCGGAGCAGGGAGGGGAGCCGCAGGACCGCGCCGTGTCCGGCTCGCTTGGCGGGGAGAGGAGCCGTGTGAAGCAGGAGTTTGAGTTCAGCATGGCTATGGCAAACCTCATCTCGGAGCTGGTGCGCGTGATGGGCTGGGACCACAGGCACAAGCTGGAGCTGTCGTCGCCGCAGGGGACGCAGCCTCGCACCGCCCGCTCCATCTTCCAGCCCAAGGCTCCAGCCCGCCCTGCTGCTCCAGTGTCTGTGCTCACTCCAAATCATGGTCCACAGAAAAAGCAGGGTTGTGCCTTCCTCACTCCATCAGACTTTTCCAGCCGCAGCAGCTACGTGGAGTATGTGCAAACAAACCTGGTGCACGGTATGCGGGTGCGTATGCTGGAGGACTGTGGTGATGTGAGAGCCGGGGATGAAGGCGAGTTTCTCCAGAGCACTAATGGCACGCATGCAGTGCAGGTAGGTTGCTGGTGCAGGTAGCCTGGCTAGGGTGGCAGAGAGGGCAGTAACAGGGGTGACTCTTCAGTGTTTCCCTAAGCACATCTTTGCACTCTGGAAATCCGACAATAGATAGAGTTTTGACTCTGGCTACATCAGTCCTAGCAAAGAAGCCACCTCTCGGAGTGAGAGAGTAGGAGCCTGACATGAGCTAGTTTGATTTAGTCAGGTCTGTCCTGCTAAGATTTTTTTTTTTTTTTAGCCTCCAAAACAGTTGACTATATCCTGCCTCCCTGCAGTAGTCCCTGGCCTTGGATTCAATCTTGGGGGTGGTTTGGGAGCAGGCTAGCTGGCACAAGTAAGTAATGCAGCAAGAAGTGCTCTAGGGTCTTAAGCCTTGGCATGTGAGTGGCAGTACTTATGCTTCTGTTCTTCTCACTAGTTTGGACACAGCCTACCTAGCTCTCTGTCTTTTGATCTGTGAGTAGGTGCCAAGGTCTGTTTTCTCCTCTTTGGAAATCCAAGTTTGCTTTCATTTTTTTTTTCCCCTCTCCTTTTTAATATTCAAGCAAAATGCTCTTCTAGTTTTGGACAGTACGTAGATTATTTTTTGTTGCAGCTCCTCTCTATTGAATAGCTGCTATGTATCTTTTCTTGTTTTGTTTAAGTGTCTGAAAAACTTTTTACGGTATAATGTCATTTATAACCCAATCAGTAAAGGTAAACTGCAAATTAAAAAATTCTCTTTTTGTCCTTGTACTACCTGATCTCTAAGATATGAATTTTTTTAAAATTATATTTTCCATTTCTTACAAGCTTTTAGCTGCTCTTACTGTTAATGTAACTGAGCCCTTGAAAAGAGGATCTAGATCCTTTCTTTGCAAACTTTTTTCCTCTTTCTTTGCAAACTTTTTTCCTCTTTCTTTGCAAACTTTTTTCCTCTTTCTTTGCAAACTTTTTTCCTCTTTCTTTGCAAACTTTTTTCCTCTTACCCGTGATAAAAATATCAGAGGTTTTTTTTTTTTTTTAATATATACACTGTTGAGCTGAAGTCTACTGCTGGCTTCTAGTGCCTTTAGTCGAACAGGTCCTTGAGTTCCTCCTTTTGCTTTTATTTTTCTATTTAATCAACTGGAATTGCTCCACTCAGGGTTATTTTCAATAGTAGACCTTTCTATAAGGCTCTTGCTACTGACAAAAACCAGATCTAAATGATAATAAATAGTTAATGAAAAGGTTTGTTGACAGTTATATTTGGAAATACCCAACTTCTACACCAATTAGTAGTGGTTGACCTCCAGTCTAACTAGAAAGTTAACTGCTTACAACGATGCAGTCTTTGGGGACCTTCATCTTTATGCATCTCCCTGTGTTCCCTCTGTTCATATCCATGTATGTGTCTGTAGTCACTGAAGACTAACATGCGTTGCGCATACAGTTTAGCTCAATTTCCAGCTGGTGCTTTTAAAAAGTCTCTCAGTATCTTACCTCTTCAGCTCTCCAGCTCTTTGGAGTCCTGGTAGCATTGGTGTAACTCCAAAGAGAGTTCAGTGAAGCAGCAACCCGCATTTTTTTCTGCCATGTTTTTAAAGTCATTGGTATGTTATACTCAACTGTTACTCATTCTCTTAGATGCTGTTTTCTTCTTCAGAGAGCCTAAGTACCAGCTTTTGTGTCCTTGTTCCCCCATCCCTCTAGGAAAGAAGTCTGCCTCTGTTCTTCGTAGGACTATGGGTAGTAGGCACATGAAACGCCTTCACTGCTTGCACACAAAGCCACTAGGGGAAAAAAGGAGCATCCTTTAGAGCCACAGAAAATTTTGTCAATGATACCTTAATGGTGGCATAGTGTGGTCCCACCTCCACACTAGCAGACCTAATACTGTTGAAGAGGAAGAAAGTCTTATGGTATAGAAGATATTAGACTGGTGAAATAGAAAGAAATGATCCCATGGGCAGGACTTACCTGCCAGGTGATGGTGATCTAGCACCAAAGAGATCCCTTCAGGAGCAGAGATTCAGTGGACAGAAAGAGGCAGAACATGTTACATATAGGAAGAGCTGGATTTGCAGCATCAGAGACCATTGGGGTGACTTGCCTACTAGACAAGGTGGGATGTCACAAGGTGTCTAGCTAGGCCTCTAAGAGGTGCTGGAGAGGAAGCTGTGGTTGTGGCACATGTGAGGACTGCAAGAGGCTCTAAATCTTGAAGTTGTTAGGTAAGAGAGTACATACCAGTGCTCTGCAGGCTTGAGAAGGAGGTGGAGGTGCAAAATTTCAGCAGGTTGCTGAGAGAATGGTGTAAGGTGGAAGAGTTTACATTCTTTAGGAAACGGGGTACTTTTAGATAGAAGGAGGTGGTTCAGAAGGGATTGGCTTTACCCAAGCCAAACTGGAACCAGACTGCTGAGCCTAAATGTCAAGACTTTTAAATTTAAACTCCACAGAGTGGGAGAGATGAGAGAGGTGGAAGGACTACTGGTCGAGAACCGTTCATCCTTTAGGGATAAAGGCATAAAATTGCATCAGAGGTGAAAAAAGACAACAGAAGTTAGCAGTTTAGAAAATAAGATGGGAGACTAAAATGTCTGACGTCAATAAAGGATGTCCAAAACATGGTTGAAGAATAATTCGTCATCTGGGCTTTGTGTATCTAGGATACTTGTGCTAAGTCTGAGACAGCCCAGGTTGATGTGGGAAGGGAGTTAGATAAGACAAATAGATGAACCCTTTCAGCTAGTAAGATAGAAATCCTAAGGATTGAAAGGCCAGGCATAAATAGCAGAAGCATAATATTTGGGGCTTTCATCAACTGTCTGAGCAAGGTGCAATGGTGAGGGACATGCTGAGGGAAGTTGGCAAAGCTGCCAGGGCAGGAAACCCTGAGACTCTTCAGTTACCTCCCTGTGAGTTGCAAGAGTGTCATGTGGGGTTGGGATATCATGAGTAAATATAGACACACCGTAAATATCTGCCTCGTGGAGAGGCAATGCTGTGCTGGTTCTGAGCAAAGTGCAGGACTGGGATCCATCCCTTGTTCTTGGAAAGCTGCTCGTGGCAGGGGCTGCGGTGTATTGTGTTTCCATGTTCTTAAATAAGTAACAAAAGCCATGAAATCACTACAGTTGCTCAACTTTTGGGATTAAATGGAAGTGCTTGAAGTCTTTATAAAACAGAGACTGCTAATAGAGTTAAACAAGAGGGCCTTCTTTAAAGGTACTCTATGGAGACCCAAAGCAAGCATTTCACATTCATCAAAAAAAGATTTATACCAAGAAATACCTGGATAGAAAAAACAGAATAGGAAAGTTATTAGGAATAAGAGAGAGCATCCTCCAAAAAATTGAAGCTGTTTCTAAATGGGAAAGAGAGAAAAGAACCTGTCTCTGGAAGGTTAATGATAAAACCACAATATAGGAAGCCAAAAAAAGATTTTGAGAAGCAGCTTGTAAAACACAGGAAACAATTATCTTCTTTGAGACAGACAAGTCAAGAGCAAGAAACCTGTCCAGGAACCCATAGGGTGGTGAATGACCAAGGTATAAAAGTATGACCAAGAGAAGATAAAGTTGGAGCTGGAAAAAAACGTTTTCTTTACATTCATGTTCACCAGTAGGTTTGTGTCTAGGTTTTTTGCCCAGCCTACTGCTGCTGTCCTAGAAGAGGTCTGCAATGGTTGCATGCAAAGTTTGTGATTCTTTGTATAAAAGAGATCCAGGTATGATCAGGGGAAGAAGTTAAAGACAGTACGCTTAAAAAACAGATAACGCATGTGTTGAAATCTGTACGCGGATTAGGCTGTTTGTACTTGAACAGTGCTTTCTGTTTCCATGCATCTGGCAAAGAGGAGGACAAATATAACATGAGAATTGAGTGAGTGGCAAATCTAATCACCTAGATCTGTTTCACCTGCAGGTTTTATGGCAGTCATCAGGTCGGACCTACTGGGTGCGTTGGCACATGTTGGAGATTATTGGCTTTGGAGATCAGCGGGAAGATCCTGCTGGTCAGGAAAAAGTATATAGTCTGATAGAGAGCTTTAATCTAGACACAGGTGAGGTTACGTGCTGCATGCGTGTGGCTGTATCATCTCTTTCTGACTCTGCTATGGCATATTTTTGAGTGGCAAACCTTAAATGGTTGGGCAAATTTTCCTTTAGTGGGTTGGATTTAGAAAGCATTATCAGCTTTTAGTTTGTATGACAGGGTAGAGCTGGTTAAGTAATCATATGGCTTGTGCCTGCATGAGGCTATTTTTGAATCCTGGACCTTTGTCATGCTATAATAAAAGGATAAAATTTGCTTTATACGGAGACTATCAAAAATGTAAGTTAGAATTAACTGAACAAGCTGCCAAAATCAGAAACGTAGAGTCTCTTGAGATGAAGTTGCCTTGTAAGCCCTCAGATCGCCTTATGAGAATCATGTGGTTTTTTAAAAGCATTAGCATATCAGCAGTTTGTTTAACCTCACGCCTCCTCTCAATCTGGGAGGAGTTTGGTGTGAAATGCTCCTTTTTCATAAGATGGCTGCAGATTCCCCTGGAACTGGGATCCTTTCACATTGCCCTCGTTCTGGGCAGCCAAAAATGGGAAAATCCGGACTTCCAATACCCTATCTTGTTCATTACCTGATGTGACTCTGGCTGGGGAATCTGATCCACTAGCAGTTTCATCAAGCCCCTGATCTTGTAGGACTAGTGCATCTTTTGGAGAAGCGAGAGTTTGGATTAAACTGCTGCAAGGGACAGAATATATGTGGGATTAGCAGCTAATTATCCACTTCAAAGATATTCTTACTGCCAGTTGAAAAGATGCCATTATTGTTTCTACCCTTTGTAAATAAAATCTTAAGTGCACATCAGTGTGTGCTGGCTAGATTAAAATGAGTTTGGTTAGACTTTGGCTTTTGTCTTTGTTGCTCTGATTTTGGCAGAAATGCAGAGTTTGTCATTTCTGTGTAAAACTTTCCAATCATCATATCCCAAATAGAAATCAAATTGAAAAATTAGGTACTCCCTGCTTTGGAACTCGACACTTGGATAATTTATCTCAGGTTGGCTGACTGTCAGTAATCAGCCACATATGTAGTTGCTCTTGGCAGACATGGGCCTCTTGGAGCAAGTTTGATCCTCTTCTCTTGAGTCCTGAAGCAGTGTTTCCCAGCTTGCATTTGCAGAAAGCCTTGAGCTGTTGCTTGGCAGATATCAGCAAGTGTTGACTGAGCTCCAACTCCTGCTCCTAAATTATCCAATGAAAACTTAAATAATAGATTTTTTTTATCTTCTCCTCACCGTTTGGTGCATTTGTTGAAAGGAACTTGGTAGCTCTGCAGTCTCCTTTGCTTTTGCCTATGAGTACTTGCCCTCTTGGCCAGCAGGTGGCATTAGGAAAAGAGCGAAGCTGCTGGCAGAATTAATTTTCTGTCAACCAACTCCCTCAGAAGTTGTGATGAGCTTTGTTTGCCCAGGAAAGAGGGGTCTGCGGCTGAGGACAGCTCTGCTGAGGGGGAATTGGTGGAGCTGACAGTGCTCTCCTTCGCTTTGCTCTCCGCAGTTGCGCAGCCGCTCTTCTCCAAGCCCTTTGGGGGGCTGTACTCCCTGCCTTACCTCGGGGAGCAGCCAAGTGACCCCGCAGAGACCTTGAGCCGCGCCGAGTGGTGGGAGCTGCTCTTCTTTGTGAGGAAGCTGGAAGTGCAGGAGCAGGAGGAGATCACCCGCCTCGTCCAGCAAGAGCAGGCAGAGCAGGTACGGAGACGGGACAGAGCCCGCAGAGCGGGGAGGCAGGAGGGAGGGACGTTAGGGAGATGACCGGGCTGCGAGCAGGGGAGCGCAGGCGTGTGCTGTGCTGGCAGAGCGCGAGCAGGGGAGAAACGGGCCTGAAGTAGGCAAGCGGGTGGGGGATGCCCAAAACGTGGAGGGCTGGGGGCAGCAAAGGGGTAAGGCCAGAGGAGAGGAAAGGCAGGCTCTGCCGACCCCAGAGAAACGGCAGGGTCCAGCGAGGTTGGGGCGTGCGAGGGGGAGGCGTGGGGTGATTCTGCTGGCGGCTGTTGGGTGGTGAGCGCAGGCGGGAGGGCTGGGCTGGTGCTCGTTGTGTTGGGGCTGGCTGGGGGAGGCTGGGGCAGGGGAATAGCCCTTTTGTGTGCAGCCTTGGCATCTGGTTTGGCGCTGGCCGTTGCAGCGGGTGTGGGGTGCGCAGTGGGTCCGTGAGGGTTAACTCGGCCCCGTGTGCCCAGTTGTGGGAGCTGGATGAAGAAGGCCTGATGCAGCTGCGGGTGTCTGCGGAGCTGGCCCAGAAAGTGCTGCGGGTCTTGGAGAAGCGATGCCAGGGCAGTGCTCGGAGCGACCTGCGAGGCTCCCGCGTCTACACCAAGTACTTCCTCGGCAGAGGGGCTGAGCAGGATGGCGGGGGGAGCGCCGTGGTGTCCTCGGAGGGGGCCAGCTGCGGGAACACCAGGCCTGAAGCTGTGTTGGCCGAGGCGGCAGAGGAAGACCTTCTTGCCGCGGCACTGGCACCCCGAGCCCCCGCTGCAGCGGAGAAGTCGGATTGCCAGCTGTTCAGCGAGCTCCTCCAGAGGGAAGGTCTGTTTTTCCCAGAGGTGACGGAGGAGCAGAGCAAAGGTAAGTGCCTGCTGCGTGCTGGGCTGGCCCTGGGGCCCCCGTGGTGCTGGAGGGCCCCGTCTGCCAGGTGGCTCCGCTGGCCCGCTGGAGGGTGGCTGTGGGCAGGGGGCAGGAGGCCGGGCAGCAGGAGGTGGCCCGGGGAGAGGCCGGCGTGGGGGTGCTGGCAGGCCCTGGCAGCGTGACTGGTGCGCTGACACCTGCGTCTCTGCCTCCCACCTGCCCCGCAGTGTTTGGCAGCTCCAAGGGGGCCAGCAAGAGGGGCTCGCTGGCGAAGATCGTGGACGTGGTGGATGTGATGCAGAGGAGTAGCTCGGAGGTGGGCCTGCGCTTAGCCGGGCTCAAGCACATGCTGAAGATCCTGGAGGAGGAGCCTGGGCTCGAGCGGCAAGTTGGCAAAGCCCAGGGCGGGCTGGGGACCAGGTGTGTGGCGTGAGCCGCGGGGGTGCTGCCCCGCCGGGGCTGGCAGGTTCCTCCTGCTGGCTGGGGAAGGGCTGTGTCCGCAGGGAGGGGGACGGCGGCAGAGTTGGGAGTGTGGGGAGGCGGAAGCGGAGGTGGGAAAGGAGGTACGTGGGAGCGTGGGTGTGAAAAAGGGAGGTGGATGCTGTGTCTGCGCGGCCCAGGCAGGTCTCTTCCTGGTCTGACCTCTAAGCATGGTAGAGCCGCACGGGCAGGGAGGAGGTAGCTGGCAGGCCCTGGGGTGCCGGCGGCAGTGCCGGAGGCCCCTGTTGAGGTGCCGTTCCGCACGCAGGGAGAAGCTGGTGAAGATGGCGGTGGAGCTGC